TTCCTCCATCACTGGGGCTTCTAAGGCTGGGAAATACTTCATGTGCATTACGTCGTGTGATCCTCACAAAACCCTGGGACCCAAGTGCTCTGTTTTTTATCTCCATTTTCCAGATAGGGAAACTGAGGCTCAGAAAGGGCCAATGGCGTCCTCAGGGTCACAAAGCTCCTAAGTATGTGAGGCAAGATTCAAAACTAGCTCTTCCTGTTAGCTGCCGTAGCCCCTGGTAAAACGCATAATAATAACAGCAATAATAATAACAGTTACACAGCACTTCAAGGTTTACAAAGCCTTTGATCAGAACAACAACCTGGGGGTAGACGCTATTATTATTCCTTTTTACAGATGAGGAAACTGAGGCAGAGAAAAGTTCATCGAATGACCGGCTCATGCTCAGGTTTTCTCGCCTCCAAGTCCCACATCATCCACCCCACAGAACCCCCAAGAATACCGGATTCAAGTCAGATGATCTGGGTTCAGATCTCACCTCTGCCACTTAGTATCAGCGGGACATAGAGCAAGTCCTTTCCCCTCTTGAGGCCTTGGTCTCCTCATCTAGAAGAGGAAGGGGCTGGACTAGATGTTTCTGAGGTTCTGTCCCACTCTAGAACTAGAACCATGACCTTAGGATTCTTTCCTACTCTAAATCTATGTTCCTCTATGCCCAAAGGGCTATAAAAATGTGCATTCCCTTTGACCTAGCAATAGCACTTCTAGGGCTATATCCCAAAGAGATCATACAAATGGGAAAAGGACCCACATGTACAAAAGTATTCATAGCAGCTCTTTGTGTGGTGGCAAAGAATCGGAAATTGAAAGGATGCCCATCAGTTGGGGAATGGCTGAGCAAGTTGTGGTATATGAATGTAATGGAATACTATTGTGCTATAAGAAATGATGAGCAGAGTGACTTCAGAAAAACCCGGAAAGACTTGTATGGTCTGATGCTGAGTGAAGTGAGCAGAACCAGGAGAACGTTGTACACAGTGACAGCCACATTGTGAGATGACTAACTCTGATAGACTTAGCTCTTCTCAGCCATGCAAGGTTCTAAGACATCTCCAAAAGACTCATGATGGAAAATGCTATTCACATCCAGAGAAAAACTACGGAGTCTGAATGCAGATGGAAGCATACTATTTGCTCTTTTTTTTTCCTTCTGTTTTGTTTTATTTCTTCTTTCTTGTGGTTCCTCCTATTGGTTCTAATTCTTACAACATCACTAATGTGAAAATACGTTTAATAGAAATGTATATGTATAGCCTGTATCAGATTGTGCACCGTCTTGGGGAGGGTGGTGGGGAGGAAGGGGGAGAAAAATTTTAAACTCAAAAGCATATGGAAGTGATTGTTGATAAATCAAAATAAATTAACTTTAAAAAAAAAAAGGAATAGGGGAAGTCCTCAAGACACATAAAAAAAAAAATAAATAAATCTATGTTCCTGTGTTAGGATTTTGACCAATAGGAGACTGTGGTACCCTTTTCTAAGAGCCTCCTATGAGAAGTAGATTTGAGTCCAAGGAAAAATCACTGACTGCTCGTCAAAGGACCTGGGTTCAAATCCAACCTCCCAATACTTGATCTTAGGTTTAACCTTTCAGGGCCTCAGTTTCCTCATTTTTTAAAATAACATCTTATTGATATATTTTATTTCTTTTTCTTTCCTTTTTTAGGCAGTTGGGGTTAAGTGACTTGCCCAGGGTCACACAGCTGGTAAGTGTCAAGTGTTTGGTCAGGCTGCATTTGAACTCATGTCCTCCTGACTTCAGGGTCGGTGCTTTATCCACTGCGCCACCTAGTGTATTTTATTTCTTACATCATCATAGTTATCCCCAGTATCCTTCCCCACCCCCACAAGACAACCAGCTTATTTATATAACCAACAACTATTTTTTAAAGAGGAAAAAAAATGGGCACCATTGTTCAGTGCACTGGAAAAGTCTGAAAACCTGTGCAATGTTCAGCAGCCTCAGAGCTCCCACCCTCACAGAGGAGGGCTTTGGAGTCCTCTAAACTCTCATCCTTGCAGTCCTGCTCCAGCTTCCGAATTTTACCACATTCACCTTGGAGTTTGGGTGGCTCTTTCCCTTTTCACTGCAGTTACTGTGGGTGTTTTTTTTGGTTCTGCTGACTTCATTCTGCATCAGTTCCATTCCTCTGTATTCATCACATCCATAATTTCTCACAGCACCATAATATTCTGCTACTTTCGTGTGTCACAATTTCTGTAGCCCTTCCTCAATCGATGGGCATCTGCCGTTCCCAACTCTTTGCTGTCACGAAAAGGGCTATGATAAATATTTTGGTGTACATGGAGACATCGATGGCTTCCTTTGGGGATGAGCCCAGTAAGTGCAGTCCCCGGTTCAAAAAGCATGACCATTTCAGTTACTTGCAAAGTTCCAAATTGCTGTCCAAAATGGATTCCCATTTCACAGCTCCAACAACGAGTCATCCCACACCCCACCTCCCGCTGACTGTTATCATCTTTTATCGTCTTTGCCAGTTTGCAGGGAGCGATCGGTTTCCTCTTATGTCAGTTGTGGGGATCGAACCTGTTGAGTCTGGCAGCTCTAAATCCTGAATGAGCATTGGCTGCTTCTCCACTCCTGGATCCACGCACCCTCCTCTAGATTCTCTAAGCTCAGCACCTCGGGGAACTGGGGACGTGGGCTGAGAACCAGCCGCAAGGCCGCCCCTTCGGCAGGGTACGAGGAGGGCCGGGGGTCCAGCGTCTGACCTGGAGTTTCCGATGGACCCCCGCCTCCTCCCTGGAGCAGAGAGGGGTGGAGGTGGGGGGAAGGGGCTAGATCCGGGAATGGGGGAGGGGATGCGGTTTGGTGACTCAGGCCGCCCAGAGGCTGGGCGGTGACGGAGAGAACAAACTCCAGATGTGCTCCCCTCCCCCCACATCTGGCCAGGGAACGACCCAGCGTTTAGCTCCTATCCCCAATCAGGAGGGCCGCCCCTGCCCCCCCCCTCAGGGAGCGCCCCAGCCCCTCCTGCCCCGTCCGGCTCCCCTCCCTTTCTCCCCTAAACCGCCGGGGCTGCAGGATGTTGGGGTGAGTCACACTTCCTGCGCTAGCCCTGGGAGGCCCAGCTCGGGTCCGGCAGCCCCCCGCCCCACCCCACTCCCGCCGCCCCCCAGTGCGTTCAGCCCCCGGCCAAGGCACAGCCGGCCTGCCTCTAAACCTCCGTGTCCGGGCACTGTCCTGGGCGCTGGGGGGCTCCAGCTGCTAGTGCCTTTCCTTATTGAAGTCTGTCCGGGCTGGCGCACAGTGGGTGCTTAATAAATGCTTATTAACTGAAAAGCTCTGCCCTTCGGCTCCCAGCCTTCTAGGGAGGTGTTTCCACCCCAAGGTCTCGTCGTGCAGCTCAGTTCTGAGGAAAGCGCGGGAGCCTCCCAGTTACAGCCCCCCCCCCCCCCCCGTTAACGGGCATTTATGCAGCGCCTACACCTCGTCCCCAATTGTGGCTGCATTTATGTGGCGCCTACATGCTGTGTCCCAACAGCTGGCTTGTTACAAGCTCCTACGGGGCAAGGCCCATTTGGGGCCCTTTCTTCCCCAGCGCTTAGAACAGAACAGAGCCCGGGCTTAATAAAGCCTTATTCAATTGCCACGGAAATGGGAATTATTCGCAATGTCAGAAGCTCCTTCATAAGGCTTCTAAACCCGGACAGGCTAAGGGGCTTTATCATCCCAAGTCAATCTCACAACACAGATCAGAGCCTGAGAGATTTACCAGGGAAGGAGTTCAGATGCTGCCTCAGAAACCTCAGGCCCCTGGGAGACTAGAAGGTATACACGGGCATGCACTAGTCGGATGAACCCAGGACCTGCTTAGACGCTGCTGGGGAAGCTGAGGGAAGACATTAGCAAAGGCTCTCAGCACTTGGACCAGACCTTCGAGAAAGCTGGGGATGAGAGATGGAGGTGAGGACGCCCCTGCCAGTCACCACCACGGCCAGACTCACACTGAGGTCTGCAGTAAGAGCCCTCCACAGTCTGCAAAGCACTGTGATGTCATTTGGGGCAGATGCTGTAGCTAAAACGTCATGGGTCCTTTTCCGGGGGAGAAAACGGAACCTTGAATTCGCCCACTCGAGGTGGCCTAGTGGGCAGTGGGGACGTGGTGGGAATCATTGAGGCTGCGGAGGGGAGAGAAACAGGTTCAGGCCCCAGCTCCATCTATCTGCAGGGTCAGGGCACGCCCTTCGCTGCTGGGGACACAGCAGCCAAACTGGAAGCTGGTAGAGGCCACACATCTGGGCCGGCAGAAGGCATGGAGCCCAGCAGTAAGGGCAGAAATGAGTACCCTCAAAACCACCACCCAGGCGAGAATGGGATCATGCCAGGGCAGGATTCGAGGTGGAAGAATTAGCACAGATCCCTGGGGGAGGAGGACCTGCAGGGCCCCCTGAGCCAGGGGCCTTCTGATTGGTCAAGGGCAGAATTCAGGGGGGCCTGAGGCCCCTCCTTCCTTCCATGAGACACCCACAGGCCAAAGAGAAGCATTAGGGGCTCAGTCAGGAAGATGGAATCAAGGATCTGACAGCGGTCCGATCCTCTGCCAAGGTGTGTGTCATTTATTCAGAGCCGGAAGGGGCTTCAGAGGCCCTGAAGACCACCTAGACAAGCACCCAGATCACAGATAAGCAAGCTGAGGCCTAGGGTGGAATCTGAATCCTTTCTGCATCAGGCACAGCCCCTAACACAGACGCCGCAGCACACAACCCCTGGTCTGCGCTCAGTCTTACTGGGCAGATGTGACCATAGTGTTCAATCCCCAGAGTCAATTCAAAACAAGCAAAGCCCCTCGGTGTGTCCGCCGCCCACATTCAGCCACCAGCTTTCTGTGAAACACCATCCTGGGGAGGGAGGGGAGACTGAGACAGGCAAGACACCACGCACCAAGCCAGCACACACGCTGTGGGGCTGCGAGGCAACAGCGGCAGAGGCCCTGCTTCCCTAAATGACACGGCACACTCGAGCGGGGTTTTCTGTGTTCAGTTTCGTTTAATGACTGGCACCTCCCTGCGGAGGAGGAAGCAGGGGGCATGTTCACTTGAAGATCTTGCCCTGATTGAAGGGTTTGCCCACGTGCTGGAAGGCCCCCTCCCAGGAGAAGTACTCTCGGACCATGGTCTGGGCCTCCTCACTGCCAGGATCCAGCTTACGCCACGTGTAGGACTCATAATCCACCTGCCAGTCTGGACTTAGCTGCAAAGAGAAGACAAGCAGTGAGCGACTGAGTGACGGGCAGCGGCGGCCCACTGTGCCCCCAGCCTTACTCTATCACCCCTCCCACAGGCAGGGATGGGAAATCCCGCCCCTTGTATTCTACCATCACCCCGAGGCCTGGGCTGAGAGAGAAAGAGAGAGAGAGAGAGAGAGAGAGAGAGAGAGAAAGAGAGAGAGAGCCCCAGCTCACCGGGAAGGCAAGTTCCTGGCCCCGGAAAACCCAGACTCCAGAAATGGCACTGCTATTGTTGGTGCCAAAAAGGATGACGCTGGCAAAGGCATTCTTCCTCAGTTTGTCCAGGCGCTGGAACATTCCTGGGGGAGAGAAGTGTCAGCCTCCAGGCTGGGTCTGACCAGGCCCTGCCAGGCCGGCCCCTGCCGGCCCCTTTGCCCACTTACCAGTGATGAGGTTGCAGCTCATGAAGGTCTGGCTGAGCTCCTGGGGGAAGCGGTACTCGGCGTACCACAGGGACCAGCCGTCACGGTCAAAGTGCTCCCAGAAGTACGGCAGGGCCACCGTCAGCGTGTCCTCATTGGAATACTTCCGCTTAAACTCATCCAAGACAAAGGTACTGCAGGGGAGGCAGAAAACAAGAAGGGCCCGTGTGGATGGCGGCGAGGCCGCAAGGCTCGAGGGGCCCTGGCAGGTCTGCTTAACCTTTTCACTGCTACAGGAGAAAGGAAGAGCCTGCAAAGAACCCGTGGCACAAAAAGCATCTGAAACACTAGAGAACAGAAGTTTTCCCAGCCCAAAAGCAGGGCCACGGTGCAGGGGAGGTGACTGAGTGAGTGGAGCCGGGGGGCTGGCCATCGGGGTCTGCAGCCCTGCTGCCACTGGGTGGAGTGGGACACTCCCAGCATCCCATTTCCCCTACTTCCCTTCCCCCCCCCAGCTATGATCGGCATGTGGAGGGCGTGGGACCCAACGGAAGGAGGGCTCCAGCAGCGGGTCACTGCTGCCCCCTGGCGTCCACTCCCGCTCCACCTGCGGACTGGCTCCCTTGCCCTGTGCGTCTATCTGCCCACAGGACCAGAGTCCAAGGTCACAGAAGGAACCTGGCCCACCCTGGCTTCCCTCAGCCCACCCATCAAAGCCCAGGCAGCTGCTGGTGCTGGGGGTCACCCACATCTCCCATCCTTCCCAGGGAGTCACCCACATAGGTACTTGTCTCCCGCTGCCCGAGGGCACTTTCTACTAGTCAAGCAGCAACAAAGTGAACCTTCTGTGGCACCGCCAGGGGGTGCAGTGGGGAGTGCTGGGCTGAGGGGGGGGCCTCCCTGTTCCGGGTCCCCCCAACTCCCACCTGGTCCAGTCCATCCTCCACATTGCTGCCACTGCCTGGGACCAGCGCCTGTCTCCCCTCTACTCCTTACTGCCCCCAGGACAAATGAGGACCCCTCTAGGGACCTTTCAAAGCCCTTTGCCGCTCTGTAATCACCAGGAGGGGCTAAAGAGCCCAGGGGAGCCCACAGAAGGGCCTGCTTGGATCTACAAAGTCCCATCCTCACTAAAGCTCCACAAAGCTCAACTACGATCTCATTTTACAAATGGGGAAACTCCGAGGTGAGGAGCTGAAGCAGAGAGAGGGCTCCGGACCCAAGTCCAGCCAATGATCCCAGCTACACAGCCCACCGCCCCCAGCCACTACATACAGGTCTCAGACCCTAGGGACCCAATCCTATCCCAAAGCACTCTGCCTCCAGGGCACACGCACGGCAGGTCAGTCTGTTACAGCGGACTGGAGAGGACAAGAGTGTCCTAATGTTGGTGACTGACCAATGACAACCAAGTTTTTATCCTGTCACAAAAGTCTGTTCAGAAGTGGAAATGACGCTGCAGGCACTTCTTGTGACAGCCAAGAACTAGAAACAGAGTGGATGCCCCTCATCCGGGGAGCAGCCCAGCTCTCGTGGGGGCACAAGAGTCCCGGGGTGACTGGGCCATGGGAAAGGACAGACGTGACTGACGAATACAGACAGGGCCGCAAGGGAAGCCGACCACAGCCAGGAAACACAGCCCCACTGAGAAGAGTCAGCCCAAGAGGTTCTTTTTCTTTGTGTCTCATGAAAAATACCATTTGTTATATGGAATGGCTCTTTGTGAAAAGAGCGGCTGATTGAGGAGCACAGGGAAAGGACACTGGGGGAAATAAGGGTGATGTAAAAAGACAATGAAAACCTATGAAGGAAAAAAGAAACAGTCCGGTGAGTCACACGTCTCTCACTTCAAGGGGACACTGAAGGGAAGGAGATGAAGGGCTGAGCAAGGCCTCCTCTGGGAGCGCCGTGCACTCGAAATACAAGCTTTTCTAACATGGCATGTCGGGTCACCTCCTGGATAAAGGGGAAGGCAAGGGCAAATCCCACTGTCAGAGTGAAAAATTATTTTACAAAAGAGATTCTTCTTGGCGCCTACAGAGGTCCCTGACTCTTCCAGACCACCCTGCCCAGGAGTCCTTGACTGGGTCCAAGGATCTAAATTGGGGGCCCAAGAATATGGATGGAAAAAGATCACACCTTAATTTTTACTATTTCCTTCAATTATTTAAAAATAGCATTCCAAGGAGTCCAGAACACAACAAAGGTTAAGAACTCCTGGTCTCCCCAGTGTCTCCCTTTGCAGGATACCAGGCCTGATTCCCAAATCCACAGCTCTCCCTACGACAAGGCTGGGCTTCCTCTCTCCCATCACAGAGCCACAAAATGCCCCGGCGGGAGCAAAGCCCACCAGCATGTTCAATGCATGCACAACCTCATATCAGGACCAGGAAGCCAGCTGAGAGATATTTGAGCTTAATGATCAGGAGAGTGAGGGACTGTCCCCTTGGCCCCAACTCCAGGCCCCCAGCTGCCTCTAAAGAATTGGGCCCAGGGGCAGCGAGGTGGCACAGTAGATAGAGCACCAACCCTGAAGTCAGGAGGACCCGAGTTCACATCTAGCCTCAGACCAAACACTTGATACATACTAGCTGTGTGACCCTAGGCAAGTCACCTAACCCCAACTGCCTAAAACAAAAAAACCTAAAGAATTGGGCCCAACATGCACTGAAGAACCATCTCTGGGGTTGAGAGTGAAGTCAGCACAACCAGTGATGCCCACAGGCTCCGGGGAATGCTGGGATCCATCCTACTGCTGGCTGGCCAACTGTCTCCTAAGGATCAGTTAGCTGCCCCCTTCCTCACTGCACCTGGCCTCCAGGTGAGATCCTAACAGCCACACTGGACAGAAACAAAAACCGGCTGTCACAGGCGACACTGATACCCAAGACAGCGTGCCAAAGGACGGCCCCATCTCTCCAAGTCTCTGGTAGCAGAAGCACTCACGGGCAGCTCCCTCACCTCTGGCCTGGACCCTCCTCTTCCTCTTGGGGACCTCATCACTCCCCATGGGTTCAATTCTCACCTCTACGCCCAGGGCCTTCTGCTGTCCTTAGTCAGCCCCCAAGCCCCTCCACTCCCACACGTCAGGCTGGATGGCCAGCAGACACCTGAAACTCACCACGTTCAAAAGAGAACTCATGCTCTTCCCACCAAAGCACTGCTTACTGCTTACTGCTACAGCCTGGGCCAACACCTCCTCATCCTCACCTCCTCCCTCTCCCTCCCCAAACATCTCTCCTCCCTTCTCGCCCGGAATACAAGAAACACCTAATGGTCTCTCCCTGTTCCAATCTATCCCCCACACAGGTGCCAAGGCAAGTCAGCCCCCTGCTCAATAAAGCTCCCGTGGCGCCTTACCGATTACAGCATCAATACAAACTCGGAGCTCATCGCCCAGCCCCTTCCTGCCTTCCCAGTCTCTCCCTCGCTCCTGGAAGGTTCCACCTTTTACAACATCGTCCTTCCTCCAAGGCTCAGACCAAACCTCACCTTCTGCCGGAGGCCTTCCTCTCTCCCTCCCTCCCAGGCTGGCCACTAGGGCGTTCCCCTTGGAGAGCTCACTACATCCACTCCGTCCAACTCCTGTGCAGACCCAGTGACTGACACACCACGCCCCCATTGGAAGGTGGGCTCCCTGAGGGAAGGCGTGATTCTGACCCCCTGGAGCACGGGACCGGGGCCCACAGTAAGCACCTAATAAATGCTGCTAATTAACCGACTGGTTCTGACCTCTTGGGCAGGTGGGCAAAGGGGTCCTTGGCCTTGGGCTCTGCAGCCAGCGCCTGGTCACACTCGTCCATCTCTTCCTCGGGGCCGGGGGCGGCGGCCACCTTCTTCTCTTCCTTCCGCTCAGCCTGGGCCTTCTGCTTCTCTTCTCGCTGTCCCTTCTCTTTTCTCGGGGCCTCCTTCTTTGGCTGACTCTCCGCAAACTTTTTAGCTAGAGAAAGGGAGAAACAGGACCCGCTAGAGCCCCACCTCTGGTGGCTCTCACACAGGCAACACGATTCTAAGAGCCGAGGCGGACCGAGGGCTGGGGTAGAACTGCCCAGCCAGCGCCCAGCGCTCCACGGGGCTTCTGCACTATCTGCTCTAGAAAACAGGGGTCATCAGAGCCACTAGGGAGAGGATCAGAACGGAAGAGGGGGTCAGCTGGCAGGACAAGGCAGCCGAGAAGATCACTCAACTCAATGCCCCAGGCTTCAGTAGGCCTCTACTTGACCAGAATGGCTGGGACCAGATTCAGACCGATACCTCACACCACATACCACGCTGAGATCTACTAGGGAGCTGGCCTGAAAATCAAAGATCAGACCACAAAAAACGAGAAGAGAAGCAACTGCAATTACAGCCAATTACAAAGACAATCAGTTACCAGAAAGAGAGCCCCGAACGTATGAAACTTAAAAGGTTTTGTACGAGTAAGAAACCGAGAAGCAGCCAAGTGAGGAAAATCTCTGACAAGGGTCTGATGGCCGAGGTGACCGAGGCAAGTAACGGGTGTGCTGAATGCAGAGCCTCCCTCTTGACAAGTGGTCAAGTACGAGAACACACAAGCACGACCAGTCACCCCTTGCGCCAATCTCCACAAGCAGCCAGCAAGGAGGTGGGAGGCCTGCCTGGCTGCCCAGGCCCTGCTGAGGAAGACCTCTGACCCCGCCCCCGCCGCGAGGCACAACCCACAAGCTCAACCACAAAACTGGAAGAAGAATCCTCGACACCAAAATTCCTTCTGGGCCACAGAAACCTGACGCCCCTCGACGAGCCACGGCACACGAAGGTGATGGAACACGACTGCACTGTCAGGAAGTGACCAGGAAGAACCATGGAACACGCGCGAACAGGTGCAGAGTAAAGCAAGCCAGAAAACACGAAGCAACCAAACAAGGACTAAGCTGGGCCTGAAGGCGCCAGGAGATGCCTGCCTCCGCCTCTTGGCGGGGGACAGACATGGAATACCGCACACAGCCCCGGCTGTGTCACCTTGCCAGGCTTTGGGAAGGGGTTCTTTCCTTCCTCTCTTCACCAGAGGAATGGTGCTCTGAGAAGAGGTACGGGAGGATGCAGCATGGAAAGAGAGGTTCGAAAGGCATCACCAACGTTTGCCTTCAAACGCCCCACAAATGCCTGCCGGTCCTCCCTCCTGGCCCTCCCGCTTACCATCAAACTGTGCCATCTTCTCACAGAGCTTCACCTCTCCCAACACTGCCCGGAACTGGGGCTGGTGGATGCAGGTGAGGAACCAGCGGTTGGTGTTGGGAAAGGCCTGGCGGAAAGACGGCTCCAGGACCTGGAGGGACACGGCAGGAGGCGGCTCAACGCTGGCACAGTCTCACCCCTGGGTGGGAGCGCCCGAGAGCTGGGGGCCCCCTGGGGGCAGGACTCCAGCAAGCACGGACCCCCTCCCCTTCCCAGGAAACACTGGCAGCGGCAGAGCCCCCGTAAGTCTCAAACATCAGGAGGTGACTGTGGGAAGCAAGGAGAGAGCACACGAAGGACTGCGCCACGGAGGCAGCATCAAGTCTCCAGGCCTTGTCCTGGCGCCCGGGCACCCAGCCCGCTCACCTGCTTATAGAGCCACAAGAGGGTGCACACCACCGTGATGTCAGCCAGAGTCACACGCTCCCCCACCAGGAAAGTCCGCGTCTTCAGGTGGGCGTCCAGCAGCCCCAGTACTCGCCTGACCTCCTCTTTTGCGTTCTCTGTGGCCTGGTGGAGACAAGGAAACACAGTGACCTCCGGGGACCTTCATGGGCCAGCCACACGCCATCCCCGCAAAAGAGACAGGCTGGCGCACCCAGCTTCCTCCAGCTCAGATTCTCTGGGCTGAGCGGTGCCCAAGCTGGACGTCTCCAACAGCCCGGATGGGTTTCACGGCTCCTCGGCCTGGGGAAGCTGCTTTCTCTTCTATCTAGCCTCAGGTTACCTTTCTGCCCCCCTGGGGCCAGGCAGATGCCCCCTTCTGCAGTGCCTTCCCTCACCATGTGACCCGGACAGGCCCCAGGGAGGGAGAGCAGGTCAGCGCAAGCCCTGCCACATAGAACCAAAGAGGGCAGGGAGGTGACTGACAGCTGACAGTGCTGTATTCTGCCATTACAACTTGGCCCCGCTCACTCAATGCCTTCTGAAGCCTCTTTCCATGCCAACTTCTACCAATTTAGAAACCACAGGATGCAGAGCTAGAGGAAATCAAGGTCATCTGGTCCAACCCCCTTCCCTTGCAGAGGAAGAAACTGAGGCCAGAGAAGGGAGATTATTTCACCAAGGTCAGAGGAGGGCAGAGGGCTCAAACCTCCCTCCCCCTCCTCAAAGGCTGGGCCAAGGGCACTGCCTCAAAGAGGGGCATCTCTGGCTGAAACTATGTAAGAAAAGCCCGGCCATCCCTGGTCACACCTCTACCAATGCCCAGTGGTCACAGACCAAGAGAAAAATCCCAAGGACCACATCCTCTCCAAGCTCAGCTACTCAGGCCCCTGGGGTCCTGGGGGACCTCTTCAGCTCCCCCAGAGAAAGTGGGAATGGGGCTGGAGCGTCTAAGGGCTCCTTCTGTCTGCTGTGAACTCCACCAGGCTTCCTCCTGGCTGGCAGCGTACCAGGTGCTGAAGAGTCCCTGCCCTCAAAGAGCTTATGTTCCATCGGAAAGACAACACAGGCCTCTGTGGGCACGCACACGCAGACAACAGAGGGCCGAGGATCAGCAAAGGCCTTATGGAGAAGGGGGCATCTGAACTGAACTCAAAGGACCCCACGGTGAGGAGGGGGAGGGGGAGCATTCCAAGCGCGGCTGGTGGTCGACGCACTGCCACAGTGAGGCAGCCAGTGGGAGTGGCCCCTGGAGAAAGGCAGGCCCAGAGGAGTCGCATCTGCTCCTGAGAGCGTCAGGTCAGCTCTAGCCGCCCATCCCTCATGCATCCCTTCGTCCAGGTCCGTCTCCCCGGGGCTCACCTGTTTGTTGTGGTGCATGATGCCCAGAGTGGGGAACACCCAGGTACTGGCTGGAGGAACAATGTCACTGTCGGCAAAGCTCACCCACTGGATCACCTGGGCAGCTGCCTCGGGAGTACAGCCTCGAAGGTCATCATTGCTCACTGCACGAGGGGAGGAAAGGAGGGGCGCATCCTATGAGGACCAGGCCCGAAGAGCTCCCACCGTCCCAAGAACAGCCCCCAACAATTACCATAGTGTGCGATGGCGTTGCTTTCAAACACACAGAACCCATCATCACCCTCAAACGCTGGAACCTGAGGGTGAAAGCAGACACAGAAAAGACCACAGGAGCCCGTTACAAGCAGCCTGAGAACAAGGCCAGCGTTTTCTGCTTGTCCTTCCCATAGGGTCTGGCACAGTGCAAAGCCAGCAACAGGGGTTCACACCCATTTCTCCCACCCGTAGAACCTAGAATAGAATGGGTATGGGGCACAGTAGCCTGGGAGGAGAAAACCATACTGGGGACCCCCCCCCAGCCCAGGATCTAGCTGCGAGGAAACGGGAAGCCTGGAGAACTCAGACTCTAAGAATACCTACTCACCTTGCCTGCAGGAAACTTTCGGAGGAATTCGGGGGTGCGGTTGGTCTGACCAAAGTGGAAATGGGGAGGTGCGGACAGCACGCGGACCTGGGCCCCACTGTACTGTGCAGCAATGAGGGCCTTGAAGGCCCGCCAGTTTTCAGGGTATGTGTACAGGGTCTGTGGAGATGGCATGAAGAAAGTGAAAGGGAGCCCCAACACTAGACACCCTCGGAGCCCCCAACACTCCTTTTTCCATCCTATATTCCCTGGCCTCAAATGCTACTGCTTCAGGCAGTGACCTCTCAACGTCACCAGAGAGTGTTAGCGGGCAGCCACTGTGTCCGGGGCGGTCAGAGAGATGGCCACCCCTCAGTGACCTTGGAGCCCCCACAAAAGGGATCTCTCCAGGGCTTCCAACACATCTCCCCCAAGGCTCTGGTCAAGCTCTCTGAGCCTCAGTTTCCTCATCTGGAAAACAGTGATTACAACTGTCTAACTCACAGAAGCCTCGTGGGGGAGGAAATCCCAAGCCCTTTGGGAACATGAACAGAGGTCCCAACCCCAATCAGCTTACTAGGCAGGGTTGGAGACAGGACGCCCCCCAGGAGTCTGAGTGGGGTCCCTCAGCTCTGGGAAGGGAGGGGCTGTCCCTGGTGTTCATCCCCATGTCCCCAGGGCCAAGACCCAGCATGCCAGAGGCTGAATCAGCCTTGGCTCAGCCCCCTAGAAAGCCTGATATCAGAACCTGGAGAAGCCCGCCTGTGCCTCCCCCACACTGGACCTCCAGAGTATTCAGAGCCCCCTGTAGCCCCTGGCTGCCTACAGCACCAACCTGGCCCCTCCAATGCCCCCCCCCAAGAGGGAAGGACCAAAACACTGACAGCCCCCCACCTTCATTCATGCCCTGCCCTGTGCCCTTAGCCCCCCCAGTCCCCCAAGCCTCTCCTGCCCCGTAGCCCCCCAGTACCCCAAGCCTTCCCTGCCCTGTAGCCCCCCCAAGCCCCTAATCATCACCCCCTGCCCCGCGCCCTTAGCCCCCCCAAGCCCCCAACCCTCCCCTGCCCGTAGCCCCCCCATGCCCCTAATCATCACCCCCTGCCCGTAGCCCCCCCATGCCCCTAATCATCACCCCCTGCCCCGTAGCTCCCCCAAGCCCCCCCAAGCCTCTAGCCATCCCCCCGCGCCCGGCCCTCATGCCCTGCCCCAGCCCCGGCCCATTCCCCCGCTAACCCCCAGCCGTCACCCCTCGGCCCCGGCCCCGGCTCCTCCGGCCCCCAGGCCGCTCCCGGACGCCAAACCTCCGGCGCCGGGCCCTTAAGAAGGACAGGGAGTCGGGAGGCCGGCCGGCGGGCGCGGGGATCTCCAAGCGCTCTCGGCCCGGGGCAGGCCCGAGCACCCGGCTCCGGGGCGGCGGCCTCGGCCGCCCCCAGCTTCTCTCCCCGCCGCCGCCTCGGGGCCGACAGCGGGGCCCACAACGGCCGCCCCGGCTTGGGCCGGGGCCCCCCGCGCCGCGGGCCCCGCCGGGGAGCGGGCGGCGGCGGGGGGGTCAGAGGATGGCGGCGGATGCACCCCCCCCGGGGCCCGGGGCCGCCGAACTCACCCCGGCCGCCATGGTGATTCCGCAGAGAAAGGGGGTGGGGACGTCGACGCTGCCGCAAAGTGAGTCCGGCCGGCGGGGGGGGGTAGGAGGAGGAGGAGGAGGGAGGGAGGGACGGGCGGGTGGGAGGGGAGAGCGGCCGGAAAGCGAGGAAGTCGAACAGAGCCGCGCGACAGGAGGACGAGCCCTCTCCGCACCGGCCGAAGTCGCGAAGCGGCGCGCGCCTGCGCACAGGGCGGCGCCGAAGGCTCGCCGCGAGGGCGGTCGGTTGGCTTCGGAGCACCTCGGAGTCTCCGCCCCCGGCCCGCCCCGTAGCGCGTCCCCGAGAGAGCGCTCCTACTTGGAGGGCGGGGAACCTGGGCTGGCCTGACCTGTCACTTCATCTCGCTGCTGGAGAAACTGAGGCAGGGCGGGGAGAAGTGACTCGCTAAGGGCCACGGATCTCAGGACAGCAGAGATGAGATTCAAACCCAAACACCTTGATTCCAGGACCAGGTCACTGCCTCCAGAGCCCAATAGCCCAGCCAGCACATTTTGTGGACAGGGAAACTGAGACATGGGGGGGCAGGGAGAGATGACTTGTTACTAAGTGCCCGCTAGGGGGCGCCAGAGTGGGGTCAAGAAGACACGAGTTCAAATCCAACCTCATACTGTGGTTTTTGAAACATTTTTTTTCCTTCATTCCATTACATGTAAAAAGTTTTAACATTCATTTTTTTAAATTTAGTGCCAAATTCTCTCACTCCTCTCCCACCCCTAAAGAAGCCAAACAGCATATCAATTATATATGTGAAGTCAGGCAGAACATTTTCCTATCAGCTAAGTTGCAAAAGAAAACATACAAACAAAAAAAAAATTAGGAAAGTTTTTTAAAAAGTCAGCTTCAATCTGCGTTCAGAATTTATCTGTTCTCTCTGGAGGTGGATAGCATTTCTCATCAAGGATCCCTCTGACCTGTCTTGGCTCATTGCATTGCTGAGAATAGCTAAGTCATTGACAATTACCACCTTACAATGTGATTGTTACTGTGTACAATGTTCTCCTGGTTCTGTTCATTTCACTTTGCATCAGTTTATTTACGTCTTCCCAGGTTTTTCTGAAACCTTCTCCCTCAACATTTCTTACAGCATAATAATATTCCATCGCAATCATATGCCACAACCTGTTTAGCCATTCGCCAAAGGATGGGCATCCTCTCAATTTCCCATTCTTTGCCATCACAAAAAAAGAGCTGCTATAAATATTTTTGTACACATGGGTCCCTTTCCCTTTTCTTTGATCTCTTTGGTATATGGACCTAGCAGTAGTATTGTTGAGACAAAAGGTATGCACAGTTCTATAGCCCTTTGGATGTAGTTCCAAGTTGTTCTCCAGAAAGGCTGGACCAGCTCCACCAACATGGCATTAATGTCCGTTTTTCCACATCACTCCCAGCATGTCATTTGCCTTTTCTCTCATGTTAGTCAATCTGATAGGTGAGATAGTAGCTCAGAGTTGTTTTAATTTGCAAGTCTCTGATCAGTAGTGATTTAGAGCACTTTTTCACGTGACTATTGATAACTTTGATTTCTTCTAAAAACTGCCGGTTCATAGGCTTTGACCACTTATCTATTGGGTAATGCCTCTTATGTGTGTAAATTTGGCTAAGTTCCATATATGTTTGAGAAATGAAGCTTTTTATCAGAGAAACTTCCTGTGAATTTTTTCTATTTTCTGTTTTCTTTTGAATTTTGGCTAATCCATTAGTGTTTATACAAAACCTTTTTAATTTCATGTAATCAAAATTATCATTTTAATTCCCATGATACAATCTTTGGTTTGGTCATAAACTCCTTTATCCATACATCTGACAGGCACATTTTTCCATGTGCCCCTAATTTACTTTTATTGCCCTTTATGTCTAAATCATTTCTTCCTTTCTGACCTTATCAAGGTATACAGTGTGAGATACTGGTCCATGCCTAGTTTCTGCCAAACTCTTCCAGATTTCCCAGCAGTTTTTGTCAAATGTCAAGCGCTTGTCCCAAAAGCTTGGATCTTTGGATTTATCAAACACCAGATTACAAATCACTTACTACGATCTTGTAACTAATCTATTCCATTGATCATTCACCACTCTATATCTTAGCTAGTGCCACATTTATTACCATTTTGTAATACAGTTTGAAATCTGGTACTATTAGGCTGCCTTCACATTTTTTCCCCATTTCCTTGATATTCTTGACCTTCTGTTCTTCTATTTTTTTTTTTAGCTCTATAAAATAACTCTTATAATATAGTCAAGTATGCTGATAGTTTTCCTAATATTGAATCAGCCCTGCCCTTCCTGCTGTAAATCCCACCTGGTCATAGCCGATGATCTTCATGATATATTGCTGTGATCTCCTTGTTAGTATTTTAAATTTTCTGCATCGATGTTAAAGAAATTGGTTGATAGCTTTATCAGCACTCTCTATGGTTTCAGTAGAATCTTTTTTAAAAGTGAACAAGATGCATATTGTGAAAGGAACCTTGCACATAAGTGAAAATAAAGATGTAGCTATTTTCCCCCATCCAAGGTTACATCCCTCCATGAAATGTAGCCACAGAACCCCAGCTAAAAATTGCTGGCTCAGACTCAAAGCTAATGGTTTGCTAAGTTAAAAGGGCCATTTGGCATTTAAAGTCCTTCACAACTTGGCCCCAGGGCAGTGCCCCAAAGATAGGACCCCAAGCCGAAGCTCACATAAAAGTGCTTTATTGGCCCCTCCTCTCTTCAGTCTCCTTTCTCACACCCTAGGATGCCCCGAACAGTTCGAGGTAGAAAACCATGCAGGAAATGATGGAGATCAGAGAACAGGCCCTGAGGATCGTGGAGCTGGGTGAGAGTGAGAAACTGGCTGGTGGGGCTGGTGGAAGCAGTGAAAGTGAGGAGAGGCCGTGGCGGCCCTGGCTCCGCTCCCTGCTTCTTGCTTTCCTGCGCTATCAGCTCCTGGGTCACGCGAGCCTCTGCCTGCAGCCAGCTCATTTCCCCTCTGGCTTGCTGCTGCAACTGCCTCCGAACCCTCCGCCGCCCGAGCCAGACCCGGTGCCAGAGTGTACACAGCCAGGTCTGGGTCATCCCTGGCCCTGCCCCCTTCTCCCCCTGGGCTGCTTCTACCTCCTCAGGCCCCGGGCTTTCTAGCTGCTTTATTTCTCTTTCGACCACCTGCTGCCCAGGGTCCCCCGTGGCCGCTCGGCCCTTCGCCTCCTCCTTGGCCTCCAACGGCATCTCTTCCACCCCGGCCTCTCCCTGGTGCCCCTCAGCTGCCTGTCGCTCCTCCTTCTGACCTTCCTCCCTCTCTAATCGTAGCCTTTTGCTCGGTCCTCCCTGGGGACACTCCGCCCCACCTCCCTCTCCTCCTGGCCTCCGTCTCTTGCTGTTCTGCTCTACCTGGCACCCCAGTGCTTCCTCTAACACCTGGGTGACGGCAGCACAGAGCTGAGTGAAAGGGGCCGGGGGCAGGGGGATGGGAGTAACAGACAGCAGGGAGTTGGCAGAGCTGGGCTGCAGGAGAGGAAGCAAACCCCAATCCCGGCCCCGGGGAGAGCGACGCTGGAACTGGAGGCTTCGGCAGTAATTAGCCGACTCCCGACAGCTGTTCTGCAGGCGACCAGCCACCCGGCCTGTCACATTCGCGGCCACGTTGTGACTCAGGTCAAAAGGGTCCTGGAGATTCAGAGGGCCGAGGCGTAAGCCCCCCCAGAGACCAGGGGGCGGGCCCTCGGCTACAGGCAACGGCTGGCCTTCCCTCAGAGACAGCAGCGAGCCTCGAAGCTCCCAGCTGGAGACACAGGAAAAGAACTGGGCCAGGAGGGTGGCTGGAGGGAGGCCAAATTGAAGCCCCATGAGAATGAGCTGTTCATCAGACCCATCCAGGAGCGGCCAGAGATGGGATTCCCCCGCCCTCCTGGCCCCTGGCTTGGCTCCCGGGAGCACAAGGGCCCCGCGCTCCCCCCGCCAGCGCAGTCCCAATCAAAGCCCAGGCTCCTCCCTTCCTCCTCGGACAGTCTCCAGGCACTTACCCAGGGGCTCTGTGTTGGTGCTGGGCTCCAGCCGGGAGGCCTCCTGGGGAAAGCTACAGTCCCAGCCATCTACCTCCACACGGTCCTCCTCACCTGAGGACAGGAGAGAGGAAACATGAAGAGAGGCCAGGAGACAGAGATCTCACCAAGATCTCCCCAGAGAACTCACAGTCACTAAGACAGGAGAAAGACGGTGACGTGGGCAGACGCAGCTGGAGACAAAGACAAGGGCGAGGGCGTCGGGAGCCTTTGGCCTGGGACGTCATACCTGCCATCTGGGTGAGCTTTGTGAGGGAAGGCAGCACTGGAGGGTCCCGGGTTTGAAGGAAGTAGATCACCAAGAGAGTCAACGCATAATTACTCAGAAGGGGGCCACTCCCTAGGCAGAAAACTGAGACTTAACTAGTAGCTGCAGAGAGCCCCCGAGGTCCCTCCTGGTCACTGCCCCCAGCCTGCTGCACATAGCCTCACCCCTCCAGGGAGCGTAGGAACTAGCTCACCTACACCACTCCTCCTCACACCCACCTCCCTTACCTGTCAACCCTCGTCCCTGAGCCCAGCAGCGCAGGGTATAGACCAGGGGCCGTACCCGCCTGTCCAGGGCGCAGCAGAGATTCAGGAACCGTGAATTGTATAACGCCAGCCTGAGATAAAGAGGAGAACAAGGAGATACGGCAGCCGGAGCCTAAACATCCTCCCAAGTCAGATCAGGAGAACTCAACATGCCCCGCCCCACCCCCACCTCTGCCTCGGTGGTCTCCTGCGCCTCTTACAAACCTGGCCTCAACTCCCAGCTTCATCTCTGCTTGCTGCCAGGCTCACCTTCCCCAGAAGAGATCGCCTCATCCCCCCACTTCCCTCCTCCAGTTACTTTCTGTTTCCTCCTCTGTCCATGTTGTGTGTGTGTGACTGCTTGGGGGCAGAAGTGAGCTTGTCTTGTATCTGTACCCCCGCCCACCCTGGACCCAGGACGCTGGCTGGAATGCAGTCAATACTAAACTGACTAAAATGGAACAGAAAGGCCAGAAATGGGGCTGTG